TTGAGAGCATGAGGGATTTTCTTGCCCATTTATTTAATAAGAGCGAGAACTTATCCCCAAGCCGGCTTAAGAGGAAGTGTCTTCTAGCATATCACTGATAAACAGGTTACTGAGCTCACCATATATTCTTTCATGAGGGCAAGTCTTTTGTGATCCAAACATTATGGTAGTCTATCCTGGGATAGTTCAGCTATTAACTCTTTGCAGCAGGTATGCAGAATAACAAAGAGAACCGCAAATACTTCGCATAAGGTAGTGTCTTTAAGTGTATGTATTCTTATGTAATGTTTCTTCCAACATTTCACATAAAAGATCACCTGTCAAACATCAAACATGTTTAAGAGCCAATATTCACTTTAAGCCAAGGGCAAAATATCCATGTTATTGACATAGCGGCTTTAAATTGCATAAAGTTTAGTTCTTGCATTTATTTTTTGACAATCAGGCCTTTTACCTTTCTGGCTTTTTTCCAAGGACAAATAGAGAAGAGAAATCTCCAATCTCAAAATTTCACTATTTATGCTCTTAAATGCCTGTGTTAGGATTAACATTTCTAAGCATTTAAGGAAAAAATACAGTGGAAGGATTGGGAGAAAGTAATATTAAATAGTAATTATAACAAATTGAACTTGTCAATATGGGTAAATGTTCTTTGAACTCTTTACCAAGAGCAGTATGGTGATGGATTTTTATAGAGAATTAACTATGGATACTCGCTTTTAACACACCTCATAAAGCTTAATATTCAAATATTGCACCATTTTCAAAACATCGTCCCTCAGGCCATCATTTTACTAAAACTCATAACCTTCTACCTGACTAGGCATAATTATTATGAGAAAGTTGGCGTTGATCACTGTTGTTAAAAAAGAGTTCGATCTTAGGGAGCCAATTAGTAGGCCACTTTTGTATTAGGCATTGTTCCAAAAACAATTATAGAAGTTCGATTCACTAGCCTACCTGCAGCCTTAAGGCATTTCGTTACCCGGCTTACTTATTTGTTGCCAACGTATCCGTTAGTGCAACCGTGAATACTGAATGAGTTCATTCTGTGTGTACCAGTCAACGACGACGAATTTGCCAGAGCGATTTTACTTAACACAGATTATAAGACAGTGTAGCGGTTACACCCTGACTAATTTTATTGTTTTCTGATGTTTACTTTAAGTACTGGAATGATTGCTCGGATACTGTTTCACGGGTTAATTAAAAATAATCTACTCACGATTGCTTTGCTGTAATGAATTATTAAATCGGCAAACAATAGACAGAACTCTCATGAATACGATAGCTTGGCTAGAAAGGTTTGGAAGAGGGCACTTTCCAAAAATATTTGGAGATCCGAAATTATGATTTTACATCTACGGTACAATTTACTTGTAAATGCATGCATCACTTACTTCGATAGGTATTATATACTCGAGAAACAAATCAGTGATTATTCTAGTATTATTACTTTTAATCTTGCCAGCACTGGAAGTTAATGCTTCCCCATTCTCCGATCCTTAAAAATCTACGGCGGCTGGGGGCGGATATGAAACGTTTTCATCTGAACAGTCACTAAACTATATTGATTTGATGGTATACTAGGCGAGAAAATTAATTTTTAATTAAACTCACAGCATATTGGATTTCCTTTATTTTTTTTTACTATAAATTATGCTCACTGAACTGTCTTACAAAATAAAATAGCATAAATGCTGAACCCTTAAGAAATTCTAGAGAAATTAACCCGACAAGAAACAGGGTATTTGTAGATCGACACCGATCTACAAATTTAAATCCTCCCGAATGCCCCTTTCTTGGGCAATACCAACAAGAAATTGTTTCATATGGACTTTGCATTTAGTTGTTTTCATGTAACCTTTGTGTTAAGTTCTAGCAGTTTCATGCAAGAAATACATACAAAAAAATTGCTTTGGGCATATTTCCAGATCCCTAAAGGGAAGGTTCGCTTATTGTTTGGATATGATATGAATCTTTTATTTTTGCCCACTATAAACGAAAAGATGTTCGTGACTGAAGCTGCCTAATTTTGTTTTTTACTCTCGTCCACTAATAACAAGTGCAATCTCTTTTGAACTCTTTTCTATTGGAAGAAAAAATAGAAAAGAGAGTAGCGAAATCAATTTAGTTTCTAGCATAAAATATACTTAGACAAAAAAAAAGAATATTTCAAATTCACTCCCTGATTCAGGAGTTTATTTATTTATTTATTTATAAACTTCGCCAAGAGGCCTGGATCACTCACAGAGCAAGCTCCACTACGAGTTCCAGAGAAAAAAAACGAAAATTAGTGATACAACTAACAAGAATGACAATACTAAGCTATACTAAGAAACGACCAAAAAAGAAATGCCAATGCAAAAACAGAATTGGGGAGGACATCGATAAAAAATCAACAACACATACGATCGAGCAAGCTGTTCAATGGCCGACTAGTGTGGCACTTAATACACACACTCTTAAAGGTCTGGGGGGTGACGACATCATAAACAGACTTAGCTATAGAGAGATGCAAGTAGTAATTAAAAAGATCTTTATTAAAGCGCGCTACTGAACAGCCAGTGTTCCGGAGGTGAGCTGATAAAGTATTCCAGATTCTTGGGGCTCTACGGTAAAAACTGTTCTCAAAGGCGACGGTGTTGGCCCTAATCGTATTCAGCAGCGTTCCCTTGAAGGAGACAGTACCCCTGGGTCTAGTGGAATTGATGACTGAAATAAAAGGGTCCAATAAATTAACTAAACATTTGAATACGTACACCAAATCTAAGTAGTAGCCCAATTTTCAAAAGCCTCTGCTCATAACTAACTACAGACCGATACGGCAAAGACAGAATGAATTTTGTTGCGCGCCACTGAATTCTTTCGATGTCAAGGATACGATTAACAGCTTGAGGAGCCCACACCTGCGAGCAATATTCGAGGTTGCAGCGAACTAGTGACAGGTAAAGTAACTTGCGAGCTCGCTGGTCATGAGTTTCGAAAGCTGATCTCTGGAGAAATCCAAGCATCCCATTGGCCACGCCAGATGACATGATTTGTAAGTCACAGCTTGGCTATAATTTTTAATTGCACTCGATAGTTAGAGAACACCCTTACGACCAGAGTAATCAGTCAACAAATGATTCCCTTCCCGCAGCCATCATATTCAATAGGAGCTTTAACATCGACGACGGCAACGGCAGCGAAAACGTCAGTTTTAAAATGAATTCCCGTTTTTTCAATCTTTGTCGCGTTTATTCCAATTTGCTGAAAATGGCAATTGTAGGCGAATTTCCATGGGGTTGATTTCTTGAGGACCACACTCAAGTTTAGAGAGAGTAAAAGAGATTCGTCGTTGCTTGTTTACGTCCACCATAAAGCTTGCAATTAGGAATTTTGACGTCGTAGTCGTGCAAGGACGGTAAAAAATGTACAAAAAAAGCGTGATGCACCTGCAAAGTTGTTGTTTTGCGAAATAAACCAAGTGTTTTTTGACGTCCTCGTTGCCGTCGCCGTCGTCGTTGCTAAAGCTCCCTATCTATGGTTATCAATACGCAACTGAGAGTTACCCCAAGCCTCTGTTTGAGAGAGAGGCTAAGTGCGTAGCATTGATATGAAAATGTGAGTGTTTTTTTATTCTCATGCCAATAAATCTGTTGTTCATAAGAAAGGTTTTGCACTTAGTTTCGATAGAATTTAAGGTGAGAGATTCTTGGCTATGGCTCATTCAGTAATTCGCATTGAATACTATAGCTGATACATTTATTTTGTTGTTGTTGTTAATGTTGTTCAGTCAAAGTTGTGGCTGAAAGAAGGCAATAAACCGCAATGATCTGCAAGATTACCCGTTTCAGTTTGCGCTGTTTTTGAGGAGTTCGGCCAGACTCTTCTGGTGGTGGAAATATCAAGTAACAGGTGAAAACATTAACCTTGGCTTAAAATAGCATGAGCTAGGCGTTGGTCAGTGCAGACGAGGAGCGGGCGAGCAGGGAAAATAGCGAGCGAGCGAAACACCTTCGTCTCTTTACAACTTCCACGCTGTTTTCGCGCATTTTTATTTTTTTCTATCTGCTTTCCCCACTATCTTGGAGCCTAGAACAGGCGAGTAAAAATGGCTCATCCTTGAGTAGTTAATCATCATGAAAAAAAGGCAACCACATGTCAGAGTATTTCACAGTACGATTTTAGAAATAAGACCGATTTCAGAAGCACCTGGCGAATAGCTATTTACGCGTTGAGTGGACCTCATATTTCAATACTAGGTTTTCATTATGCGACACCCCTCCCCTCTACAATGTTTCAGGTCTCTTCTTATCATGCAATATTTGTATAGGTAATAGCATGATTTGTAGTAATATTTGGTATAAATACCACGAGTTATATTTCGAAATTGTTATACGTAATTTGAGACGATTTTGAAATATCACGAGTGGTATTTCTGCCAAATATCACGTACAAATCATGCTATTATTTGTTTATACTACTACCCGCAAAAGGTTTGTAATTCTCTCATGTAGGTATTTCAAATTAGGCTCGGCTGAAATTCCACTGCTCTAAGCCAATCAAATTGCAGAAATTTCTCATGTAGTTATTTTTAAAAGGCTGAAATCAAGCTGCTGAGAGTCGATCAAATAAGACATTTTTGTTATTACCGCGAAAATGTTGCCTCTGAGAACAGGCTACAGGGAGGATAACCCTTCAAAAAAAATGACGTGGATACCCGTCAGGGACAGGGTGATGTGCAGCTTTTTTTAGGTTAAGGTAAACCACAAATGGCCCCTCGGGTAGAGCTGTCGCAGAACCTTTAGGGTATGGAGCCAAAAAAATGATGAAACGAGTGGCTCAAATGATTGTTCATATCACAGGGTTCGTCCTCTTTTGAGTTCTTCAAATTCCACGACTTTTTCTAGTTTTCTATGACCTTGGCTTTAGCTGTCACTTTTTGAAAATTTTCAGAACTTTACTTGTTTTAGCATATTTTTTGAAACAGTTAAACAGAAACAAACTCTGGTATCCACCAAACTGCATGTCGTTCACGTTGTTTAATTGCTCCTCTTTATCTTGTATTATCCTTGCTTTATCACCTGCAGTAACTAATCTACCAAACAAAACTTTAATTTTCGATGACTTTCAAGGACGGAAAATTAAATTCCATGACTTTTCAGGCCTTGAAAATGAAATTCCAGGTTTTCCATGACCTGTACGAACCCTGTTTCACTTGGTCATAAGACAGAGACAAACTACAGCACGTCCATGTTTCAACACCATTTATTATTGGAATGAAACCTGAAATGACCTCTTAGTTTTCATTGCTCAATTGACTCAGCATTTCTACAATTCTACATGTGTGAGTCCAACCCTTCTACTTCTGACAAACTACAGGCATGTAATCCTCATAGGGATGTTTTATCCTCTTCCCTTTCGCACTTCCACTGGAAATCATGTACGCACAATCATTTATTCCAGGCCTGTTTCGTTTATGACGGAACTCACTATACAGCCAACACCAAACTCTTTTTAACTACTTTAGCCAGTTACGATAAAACACGTGCAGGATCAAATGACCCAACAAGAGCTCCAAGCAAATATATTTTACCGGAACAAACTTGTTATTTTATAATGTGTCGAGGACGAAATCTACCGCTGTTTAGTTATCATTCAAATAAAACCTCCTTGGCAGAAGTTTCGCTGCAAAGAACTATTTTTTAGAAATTTTCCTTTGAGTATTATTATAGGAGAGGAGGGGTTAAAAGAGAAAACCAACGCGTCGAAGAAGTTGAATAAAACTTCAGACTCGCACTAATCTGACTATTGAAAACTGCTTCAGCAAGCCACAGATCATTCAAAACGGAAGCAATGCGCTTGTGATCATTAACATCAGCAGTTGACAATAGGATGTTTAACACTGAAGAACTTCTTCGGTTCCCGCATTTCCCTTTCACTCTGTTAAAATTTAATCAAATATGACGCTGCTAAAGGTAACAGCTACTGGTCTATAACGCTATTTCAGTTTTGAAAAAGGGGGTCTAATTTCCAAAAAACAGAGCTTTTAAGCAACATTTTTAAAATGCTATGGAGAACATTACTATTGATTGATGTGTTGTAGAGCGCTGACTATCAGCCCTCAACAAACCGACTTGTGCTATCAGGGCCGTAGCTAGGTTTTGTGTTACGGGGGCCAATATTACCAGAACCTTGTAGGGGGGCCTGGGGCTACCCTCCCCCAGAGGATTTGGAGGCTCCCAAACGCTATTTTCAGCACTTGTCATGAAATATGTCACCGAAAAATCGACTTCGAATATAAAGTCACTATAATCCAAATAAAATAAACCAAATCCATTCACAGACTTAATGTGTCTGGCTCAACAGGTCCAGCTACGGCTCTGGCTATTATTTGTAATGAATACTACTACTAATCTAAATACCATGGATACAAACAAGCGACTTTGTCCTTGCAACTGTCGCCTTGTGAGTGCTGAGCTTTGATATGTCCAGAAATGCAGGGTAATAAGAAACTCATTTTTTTACAAAAGTCATCACAAAGCGACAGACCACTAGAAAAAAGGCCCCACAAAACACTACTGTTTGAAATCAGGAGCAGTGAACTACAAAAAATTTGAAAATGACAAAAAAAAACAACCAAGATTGGGAGGCCCTGCATTTCTGGAAACCAGTGACAATAGAACCACGATAAAAAAAATACTAACTACTTAAAAAATGAAATTTAAAAAAAAAAAACAATACCCGCTCAGGTCCACGATTTCTCATCATAGATTACGTAATACATAAACTGCAAAGCAGTCCTTTTTCCCTCAAAATCGGTTTTTTGAGGAGCGAACGACGAAACTGCGTGATATTTTGGCGCGAAACGCGTGAGTCCCACAGTAGCGCTCACGAGGTCACGACCTACGCAAAAGTACGGGCTGTTTTGCAGTCTATAACACTAGAACGAATGTCTCGATCAGCACATACAGACACCAACAGATCCGATGATTATTTTGGTGATTATTTTAAAGGGACTGCTTTACAGAAGTCCAGTCCATTTGGTGAAGTTCTCTAATTACTCGCTTTACTCGCTATGAAACTTAACGATGGCGTGAGTTACATTTAAATTTACAAGCAACAGAGACAAACTGTGATACCCAAGATTCAAGCACTTTCGTTTAGACCCCCAATGAAAGTATGCTGTACCCTGAACACATCAGAGAACGGAAAAGGACTTGTAACTGCCATAAGCTAGGGATGCTGCTTCACGGCGAAAACATTGTGGCAATAAATGATGGTAGGATGACCAGTAGCAGTGTGATGGATATTGCTGCTGCTCCTAAAAATAAGAAAAGAATGCTCGATGTTACCATATATAGTCAAACCCCGTTAATACGGACAGTGAAGAGGCCATAGAAAGTGTTCGTATAAACGTCCGCAAAAATTTTTATATGGCGTTTGGTAAATTTTGTACCTCATTAAGCGGGTTGTCCGCAAAGGCCGATATATAAGCCTCGGCTTTGGCATCTTATTATCGTTAGGGGTTTTGTGTCCTTATTTCCCGGAGAAAATGTCAATAAATAAATAAGCCCGTAGGCTCATTTTTGTACCCGTCAGCACGCTACACGCGTCAGTACAGGGAGCGTTTTCAAGTTCGCTCAATTTGCCCTGGGAGCTTGTTCCCAAATATTTAACCGGTTAAATATCGTGGAGCATTTTGCGGGGTGGAAATTCTGCTCCCGAGGATGAAGTATACCCATGAAATCGTTGGTACACACGGAGGAGCTTTGCTCCCGGAGCGTGCCCCTGGACCATGCTCTGGGAGCAAAATCCCTCGTGTGTATCGGCCTTAAAGCGGGATTCAACTGTACCTTCAGCCCCCATCAACAATGTCGTTAACATTTTGATCTTTTACTCAAAATAAAGGACAAGCTGGAGTAGAACCTTTCATCTGAAAAAACCTACGATACAGCCTCTTCCCTAAGGCAGTTCGCGCCTGATCCAAGTGATTGAGGAGGCTTGGAATTGAGCGCGATAACACGAGCTCTCCCGACAAGCCAACCTCTCTCCCAGGGTTCTCTCGCTTCCTTTCTCCCACAACAGAGAAACCTGGGAGCGAGGTTGCCGATAAGTTTGACAGGTGACGTGATATCCAAACTGCCGAGGACAACTGGGAAAGAGGCTGCCGAATGTTTTTTTTTTTAGCTCTTGTTGTTGACATAAAACTTAAAGGGTAGTTTGCAAAAGATGTAAACAAAAAAGACCTGTCAAAGTTTTTGGAAGGAGGCATTTCTGCATAATCATCCCAATATTTTTAGCCTTATTTACAATAAAAATAATTTTCTGTTACTTTTTATCGCAGTTTTGTTTCGTGGTTTGAGTCCAAAAATTACATGTGGCTAAACATACAAAAAGGGCTTCGCCTTTTAGCTTTCAAAGGCTGATTCGGATGTTTCCATTTACAAATTATAAAAGAACGGCCGTCTACTTTTGTTTTTGTTCCATTGTTTGCTTGTTTTTTACAAATTAGTTGGAAAAACTTGGATGGACAAATCTGTAAGTTTTAATTTGATATAGGATATTAGGCATCCACAGTTTAATCGAAGACGCTTCATGGATGGGAAGCAAGTTAGCCCTGAAGCCAACGGGTAACCTTCAAATATACTTACAAGGGCTACAAGAACAACTCTCCCTAAGCTAGCCGTTACGTCTTTTAAAAATGTCCAGGGCAAATTAGTACGAGCTCGCTTAACAATAGACGCCTTATTCAATTTGACAAAGGAGGCTACATTGTGTATTACCTGGAATGGGACATTTGACCCTTTTTGGGCCTTGGTCGAGGGGGGTTTAGAGAATCTACAATTTCAAAGGAACAGGTGAATGAATACCTGTGGTAGGAGGTTTAGCTGTAGTTGGTGTCGTTGACTCCACATATTCAGCTCTGAAACCACGATCAGGGCTAAATGAAGAATAGAACTTCACATGCATATACCGACCATTTGAAACTACTGCCGTTAAGCTAGAGCCAGTGCAAAATCGACCCAGATGTGGTGAACCTGTTGTTTGGCCATCAAAAAACTCCACGCGACTACAAATGGTACTACTGCAATCATCGCAATTTCCCATCTGGAAGTCCTTGATTTCCACCTTTACACGTTTGCCAACTGAAGCAGTAATGATCCAGGAACAGTTTCTTCCTGAAGGGTAGTTGGCCATAGGGTAGTTAAGGCTGCTGAATGAACCATCACCAGATAACTGGATTGGTTCAGTAGGGCACACTAAAAAGAGAAATGATGTTAAACGGTAAGTTCCAGTTATAATAATTATAGAATGACATTTTATGTTATTTTCTACATTAGACATTATTTAAACCACACATTTTCAGCCACCAGCCTTCGAGACTCAAGATTGAAGTAAGCCATGCAGTCTAAATGCAGACTGCATCGTCTCATCCCAACCTCGCCCCCCGCCCCTTTATCTTTTCAGTTACAAACTCGACTCAGTTAAGTACACACGCTGTGATCAGGTAATTATATCCGTTGGCCTTGCTTTATTTTGACTCGACTTTCAACCTTTCAAGGGAGTCCAGTTTACATCACCCTCTCGGTGTGTAATGTACACAGATAGCAGGAAACCTTGAAGGAAACCTTGCACCATAATACAGTGTGGAGCCTTGCGTCTGTGGCATATATGTAGTCTGATACATTGTATCCAACTAAACGGCTGCTGGTTGACTTCACCTGCGAGCCAGTCCAGAATTTCTTGCTCTGGGTGCCCCAGCTGTGTACCAAGATTAGAGTAGGCACCATGACTGGCCATTAAAAATGTCATTGTTCGATTGGCCAATAAGGTTGAAGAAAAATTCAATACGCATGACAGTAATTTGTTGAGTCCATTGGGGTTTAGAACAATGCTTTCAGCACTGATTTGCAGACAGTACTAGCCGGGATTAGATTAATCTGCATTTACAGGCTAACATTCACTTTTTATTAGTACGTGCACTGTACACTACAGAGTTACTTTCAGTAAGAGACTGTCGTGAAGATATCATGCAATCTATTTGAAACAAGAACGTTCTTACAGCGGGGTCTCGCTTGCTTGGAGATTAAATCGAGAAAAAAGGAGGCAATAAATTTCACACGAAACAGTATTTACTCGCTAAAGGTTTTTTACTTCCTCCTTTATCGACGTCGGTACTTTCTGTTTCTGAATTACTTTAGTACGCGTGTTAGCGACGACCGGAAATACGTCTGCGGTCACAGGCTATACGCGTGTATGAATGGACGAAAATTCAAGGGCCTTGATTCCAGAGAAATTACATTATTGCCAGAGATCAAAAAAGTGATTTACATGGCACGTCAATTCAATCATCGCCGAAAATAAACCGCATGCTCATCACAAGACCATTTGCATACAATAAAAGTTTACACCCGATCATCGCAGTTTTGCTAATTAAGATTCTTACTTTTTTCCGACCACTCAGTAGTGTTCACTTATTCCGAAGTGATCAACGCTTTCAAGCGATAGAATTCGTGAACCAACACGTTTCGGAAAAGCTCTAAATTATTAAAACTCTTTCTTAAGCTTTCTTTGCAAAACAAGCGTGGCTTCGATCACGCAACGATTCTTAGTCCCAGTTTCCACGGTCTCCGCAAGGAACGCCAGGCACAATGATTCCTTTTTTGTGACCTAAATACGACGAAAAACGCCTTGCAGATTATGAGTCTCGCTGCTTACGCAAGCGAGACTAACTAGGCTCTCAGCAAAAATAGCACTCACGCAAAGTATAGAGGTCAAGACAAAACACATTTCGTGGCCTTTACTACATTTGGCAATAACATCTTAATTACATTATATTTTGCACCAGTTATATAAATCAACTGTGATCTCAACAGTGATACACATACCTGGTGGGGTATAGTTCAGCATAGTGTAAGTTGCTGTAAATCCTCTTTGCTGTTTTTCAAGTCGACCATCAGCAACAAACCTCACCATCAGACGTTCATTGGTTGAATAATAAGACTGTGGAGTAAAACTGCCATCAACACATAGCTTGCCACTTGCAGCACCTGGTGCCAGACCAGAGCCCAGAAAGCCATCACGAATTTCCAAATAATCACACGTACAGGCCCCTTCTGCACCACAACGATGAATTTCCATGTCTGTAATATCTAGTTTCACAAAATTGCCTTTACTGGCAGAGATTTCCCAGAAACAGTTCTGGTTAAGAGGATACTTCCTGGGATAGAATGGACTTGTAATAACTCCTGACATGTCTGTCAAGATTATTCCACTTGGGCACACTAAGTAGTAACATAAGATAATATGTAATAAAATGTAGTTGAAAAGACATAAAACTGACTGATTTCAATGAACAGTGAAACAATGGCGAGTTCAAAGGGAAGGGTACATGTAACATACCTCAATGGTATAAATGGCTAAAGTAATAACAATTGAAAAATAACCACTTCACTTAAAGTGTAGCTTAAAAGGGATAAATACATTGTACAATGTAAATAAATAAAATAACAAACAATTAACAGACAGACAGACAAGACAGGGTTCGAAATTGCGCCTTCCTGGTCGCCAATGCGACTAAAAATGTAGTCCTGGCGACCAGAATTTCATAGCTGGTCGCCAGCAAGCGACTTGTAAAGCTGGTTGTTATTGTGGACTTTAACGTTCAGAGAAACTGATTAAGGATTGAAACCTCGAAGCTATTTGCCAACGGGTGTCTTCCTTTTTGTCCTGCTGATATTTTTTAATTAAAAGTGAAACGAATCTGCCCGTAATGATACCTCCACAACAGCTACGATCAATACGAGTTGAACGTTTCCAAGCCGCCATGTTGTTTTCAGCGTACGTTATGTACTTTGTGGACTGGTACGAGTAATGTGACACAGTTGTGGCCTTCAGGGCGGAAAAACGTGCTGCGCAAGCTTCTGCGCATCCTTTATCGCAGGCTCAAGGCGGGCTTTTCTGTGTGTTGACAGCTTGTGGTGTTCGACAGTTTGTTTGTTCGTCATTGAGAGAGTTCTGACTAAGACTGAATGAAATGCACAAGGTGTGAACGTTTGCTCCTCGAAAAGCCTTTTTACTTTTGTGTGGTTTTTGTTTTTCGTCACTTGAAAATTACTTTGGACTCGGAACAACCAATGTTAAAGGAAAAACGGATCATTCCTTCAGTCTGAGGTGGAATAAAGAGTTTTGAACATTTCCAAAGAGGCGAGTATTTTTTTGATTGTTCATTCGATTTATTTGTGAGTTGATTCCGCCTTCTTTCGCCGGGCTGAATTAAAACCCACTTTTTTTAAAAATTAGTTAATACTTTTTCACATGCCAAGATTTATTCCCTTTGTAGAACCAGCTTTATCCTTCTCTTCAGTCAAAGAACCATTTTGTGCGCCGTAAAACTTTCTCGGAAATACCGGTAGAAGGTAGCCTGCGTAGCAGGCGTCGAAAGGGGTAGGTAGAAGGCCAGTAAACTTACTCTAGAAGAAAAGAATCATTTTTTTGTTGCTCAAATACTATAAGTAGTCAGAGTTTTCGTCACTTTAATTACATAGTTTTGTTTTCCACTTCACTGTGAAAGTTTCTGTTCTTTGTAAGAAATAACTTTCTGTACGCAAATTTTCCATTTCACTCGCTGTGAAGTAGAGGACAACTGCCGGCAGTGACTTCAAAACAATTGACTCTCCCCGTAACACTGAATTGCTGGAGCTGGATTTGTCTGAAGCGAACAAAACAAATACCCTTATGTGCAGTTTTCTGAATTTTGTAACGATTGGCTGAGTTTAATTTGCTTGAATGAAGACCCTCACATGGACCAGTTATTCACTGAGATATTAAAGCGTGGAGAAGCTACATGGTGAATCATGGTTTAGCTTCGAAGCTCACTGCAACTGATCTTTTGCTTTTAAGATCTTTAGGTAGGTTGTTTTCGTACAAAAAATTCATTTCTTCATTGTCAGCAAGAAGTTTTTGCAATAATGTAATTTTAACTTTGTTTGAAGGAAATCCTACTTACGTGTTGGTTTTTGACAGATGTTATGCATTTTCAACTTGACAACACAAAGCGTAATTTATATTTATCTCTTAGTACTCGAAACGATCAAGTTTAAAAATAAACTATAGTTGCTTTAAGACCGATTTTTGGGAAGATTTTACTAGATAAAGATTGACCTTTTTTCTGCCCGCATATCAACGCAATAACTTCTACATTGAGGATTTTGTTTATATTTTAGTTATCTGCGAAACTACGAGTGTCCGATCGAGCGAGGGTTTTAAAATATCAGCTCGAGTGCGACAAGTTCAGTGCCTTCAAACACATTGTGGGCAAGCGTTAATTTTTTTGGGCAAATCACTGTCCAAAGATATGTTGTTTTTGTGTCCACAGTGGAGCTCCGGACCTTATATATCCAGGAACTTCCTTATATGAACACATTTTGTGAATGCATCTTGAAAAAAATCGGACCTACGCATGCACATTTCCAGTACAACGCAAGGAAATTGATGTCGTTAAAGTCCGTTTTACTATGAGGTATTCTTCGAGAAAATTAAGAAACCACAAGGTTATAACCACAGCTTGCAACTTTTGAAGACAAATTGCCTGTTCTTTCCAGGTTATGAGTGGAAACATCTTATTTTTAGGCAATAAAATATTTGAAATCCAGCCATTTTTTCAAACCCGGCCAGGGGATCTGGGCAAAAAAGTTCACGCATGCTCAATACGTTTTTCCGCCCTGAAGTTGTGGCCTGGTACGAGCAACATGGCGGCTTGACTCGTGTTTATATCCCGGGGGGGGACTCCCATATGAAACAGACGGGGATGCTCGTCGGAAATTTTGAATTTAACCCCTAAAGGAGACCATCTGGGCGTGGCTCAAGCTTTTTGTGACCCCTAAAGGAGACCAATCTGGGCGTGGCTTAAGCAAATTTTGACCCCTAAAAGAGACCGCTTAAAAACACACAAATACGACATGCAATGAGTTTTAATGATATAAAGACATAATCATCGAATGCTTTTATCTAATAGAAGTGTTTAAAAGCATTGTCATAAATCTCAAGTTCTTTGCGGAACCCTAAACGAGACCTTGGCGGCTTAAAATATTGGCGCTTTGCCCGGAACACCCTAAGCGAGACCAAAATCCAAAATTTACACCCCTAAGCGAGACGACGAGCATCCCCGTCTGTTTCATATGGGAGTCCCCGGTTTATATTTCGTGTTTCGTGTTAGTTATCGGAAGAAAATAGAGTTTTGATATGATCAGCACAGTCATGGGCAGACAGCTTTCTGTTCCTATGTTCTAGGTCAGATAGCTTTATATCTCCAAAAAGTAATTTGTGGAAAAAATAAGACTTCACTAGTACACGTATGGTTGCTTTCTGGTATCGGGAGCGAAAGCAGTGCAATTTTTGAGCATAAATAAAAACGTCCATACCATGCATTTTTTATTCGTGTTTAAAATTTTATTTGAAAAAAGGGAGGGGAAATTTTTGGCGACCACAATTTGCCCTCTGGCGACCAAAAATTTATACTTGATCGCCAGTTGGCGCCCGTATTAAAAAGTTAATTTCGGACCCTGCAAGAGATGACATTTGAATTACATTGCACTAGAATGTGCTGGTAACAACCCAAATCGTGCTTCAAAAAATTGGGCCCAAAGGAACTTAAAAGGAAAGGAAAAAAACACTGTTTTAATGACGCATGTAACACCCTTGACTTAACTACAGTCAATGCTCTCCTTGTGACCACTCTCATAAGCAACCTGCTCTAGTTACAACCACCTTTATGAAACCCCGTTTGAACTGTGACTTAATTAAACTTTGTAGTGAAAAGCTCTCGTAAGCAACTGCTCCCGCAAGTGACCACAACCACTTTTTGGGATAATTTACCCAACTAGACTTTTTCTTTGTTTTTAAGCTCTTGTAAGTGACCACTCAGAGTATTATTCATAAAAATCAACACAAAATTGAAACTGCACACAATGCTAATGGTCTAAAAATTTGGATGTCAAGTTTAGCCCTCTCTATATCAGATATAAAGACACTTTCTTCCGTATTTTCTTTATGGATTATTAATAAGTTTTTGAACCTCTCGTAAGCGACTACCCTCTATTGTTTCACCATCATGCGCTCGCTTACGTGAGCTCATTCTTGTAAGTAACCAGGTTAAATTTTCTGAGGTGATTGTTTAGGAGGGCTTTGAAAAAATCAATATTTAAAATACATGTTTGTACATCTGTACATGTTGCTATGGAAAACACATAAATAACACAAAGGAACTTACACATTTCATCAGTAACTGTCTCAAATGAAGCATTGAATCCTGGAGGTCTATTGGTGGACGTAACCAAGGTAATCTGAGTGGAGCTGGCATCAGAGTACACTGGAGCAGGAATGTTTTGGCCACACAGCTTAAAGGGGGTGCGATCATCATTTGACGCAATGCTTGTGATTGTAACAGAGGCACCACCTAAATTTGATCCAGTACAATCTGTATTCTGACCTGGCTCCAAGGTAAAATTCAAAAAAGACAACTTGATTCGTCCACTGGGAACTGTGATAGTCCAAACACATGTTAGTGAAGGACCAAAGCTGTTTGGAAAATTGGGGCTTGCTACAAATCCACTTGATGCCCCACTGATATTAACTCCACCTCCGCAAGCTATAAGGAGTTAAAAACAAGAATGCATACATCTGAGTACTTTTTCAGGCAACACATCTTCATTGTATTTAAGGTAGAATGCAGGTTCATGTGGGGCAAAGAGGATCAATACTGCAAAAGTTCTTTAGTTTAAATTTAAACCAATAAATATCCTACTTTGAATTTATTGTAAAAGGCTCTATAGTAACCTCATTTACTGGAGTTTGCTCTAAAATCATTTAGTCACTCCAATTTCCAGCACCACTTGATAAAATAAAAAGTTACACTGTATTTTGAAAATAACATTAAATAAGAATCAACCATTATTTTTTTATAAATCTTATTACTTTAGAAGTTTAATAGAAAAAGTTACCTTGTCTATACAACGCAAATCATTTAATAAAACTAGCCAATTTTTCACATGATTTGTAACATTTATGTTACAAGAAGATTCATCACAACATGATAACAAAACTATTGATGTAATAAAATTGTTTCCTAAAATTAATAAAAACATGAGAAACATGAGATGGAGTTACATTCACGTAATTTTCCTTATGAACCAGCTTCATAAATAATTAAGTTATTTTTATTGACTTATTCCCCCAATTCTGCTTGCAACTGCATGTATGGCAATATTAGTTTTCACTTGAAGATAAGCAACAATGTCATAAGCAAAATATAGCAAACTCTGCTTATGAATTTGTTGGTTTGATTTTTGCTACAAGTAGATTGTAATGCTTTAACTTCTGAATTTGACCCAGACTTCATCATTAGTGAAAACCAGCACTGATACCACTAAAGGAGAGAGTGAGGCAGACATGTGAATTGTGTTTACAACACATTATGTATGTACAAGAAAAAACTTACGATCTTGCAATTGAGCAGGTACAATGTTGACCAAAATGTTAACTGCAACACAAAAATATAATCAAGGTCACAACTATAGTATTGTGGACAACAAAGATCTAAAAGCTCCCTACAAGTAATTATTACATGTATGCATACCTGCCAACTCTCCTGGTTTTCCCAGGAGTCTCCAAGTTTTTCATCAAATCTCCCAGTCCCTAAATCTCCTGGGGAAAAACCCACCATGGCCTTTTTCAAAAATTTTGCGCTAATTTTGTTATGTTCGAGATCATATACTGTGAAAAAGGAAAATAAAACAAGAAGTGGATTTAGTGCTCTTATTTGAGCTGTTCTTGATCACAAAACATAAAAAAGGGCAATCAAATTAATACGAGTATTGTAATTGGTCAGAAATTAACTAATAATATTGCACAATACATCGTAGAAAGTTGGCGCGGCTTTTGCACGCTGTTATCAACTCGGCAAACATTCAGAAGGCCTTTGGGTGATTTTCAGAGAGTATTCAGACATTGTCGAAAATGACATTCTTTCAATTCGCCACTTATACATCTCCCACAATGCACTGCATTTGCTCCCCAAAATTTTGCATGAGTGTTGTTTTCAATTCCTCTTGGGACGGCTGTAATACCCAGGAGAAATGAAAAACAGAGGCAATGCAGACTAAACATCTCTAGATTTTTGTACTCCGGCGGTTGGCAGGTACATGAATGTATTTGTAAGTACATTGCGGCAGTGCAAAAAATCCATTAGAGAGCTTAAGCAGTGGACATTCTTGAGGTCATGGACGTCAGGAAGGCTGTGCCTGGTCTGAATCAAGTACAACGTTTGTGGCACGAAAAGCGAAGATTAAGCAATGAATGGTTTTTGGTATAACGTGAGTAACAGATGTCTTGTCTCTGTTTTATACTTTAGCTATTTGAAATGTCTTCACTCATGACATAGCATTTCGAGTTTCAGAAAGATCTTTGCTGCTGAAGGGGACTCGTAAATTTTCTTTGCCTATTCTCATTTGAACACTTCATCTTTCAAATTTATTCGCCAAGCTTGAAATGCCATCTTGTACTATTTGATTGTGTAGACCAGTGTGTTGTGTGGCGAAAAAAACATGATAGCGAAGTTTAGTGGCCCATTTTATTTTCAGTTTCATTAACAACAAATGAGATTTAGTTTGTTATTCATTTTCAAAGTTCATTGCACCAAAATTAACAGGGGTCTCCTTAGAAAACGCTTTCACGATATAATATACATGTAATCAACCCAATGCACAAAACCATGCAGTCATAACATTTTCATTTACAGGTGTGTAAGCCTTTAATATTTTTCGTTGTAAACAAAATAACAATTCATGCAGTCAAAATTATCGGCTGTTTATAATAAAACTTACAAGAAGATAAAGCCCACAGAAATAAGATGTGAGTTCACTTGATGATGATTCACATGGACAAGAAATCGAGTAAATCTTACGTAAATCCCATAAATTTTGCCATCCCCCAGTTCTGCAGCCAGTAGCACTAGCTGGGTCAACCTAATAGGTCAAGTCCAGAGACTGTTTACCTGATGTTTACATCTCTGAAAATGCTGAATGAATAGCCGAAGAATTTTCTTTAAGTTTTAGGCCACAAATTTACCCACAATATCGGAAATTACCAAATAATTCTTCTCCAAACGCGTACTTTTGAGTACTAGAATCTTGCATCCTATCTTAAACTTTAAAAGTGGCGTTCTGGCATTGGCAACCTGACCTCACGGACATGAACACATGCACAGTATGTTCACACTGGCACGAGTGACTTCAGGTTGGTGTTCGTGACCTCAAAAAACGACTGCTGCTTACACTGTAAGCTCTCTATTATTCACCAAGCAAAGCAATAATTGCTTGATTATTAATTTTCTCAACAACAGAACTGGCACAGAACACTGTGATCAGAAACTGTGAGAGGTTTTCAAAGTTAAAGAGCTTTAAATTATTTTTTTAAGTTTGGTATTTTATCCAAGTTTGAATGAATGTTGATGACTTGTCTTTCAAACCAGTTAATGCAAAAACGCATTCAGAAGAGTCATATATAAGTTACTTCTGCTGCTTCATTACTCTGCAAAGGCACATTATTACAATCATAATTAAATCACTTACAGACCCCAATAATTGCTCATACAGACCTCATTTTTAGCAGAGCATCATGGGTAAGAAAATCTATCCATCCCAGAAAATTTGGTAATCACGTGACCGAACACTGACTGAATGACCGTCCGTCCACACCACAGGGAAACCAATGTTTAATCACATGCTTTCTAGCTAGTTTGGGAGCCCAGGGGCAAACTGATATTTGCATATTGCACATCAATGTTGTGATAAATTGAGAGCTGTCAAAACAGGATGTCCACTGACCAGTATCACCTGACCATATCACAGGCTCAGGTGTCGGCCCATCAAGGTTGAGTATTTTTTACTAGTTTTTAAATGATCGCAGGCTCAAGTTTAATTTTTTTAAAATTCATATGAAATATGTTGTGTTTATGTGCTGTACTATTAAAATTTTGATTTCAAGCTGACCTTGGACCCAATTCAGCGAGCTACTACAGGCAGGGGAGAGATTTTGACTTTTGTCACCATGGTCACAAGTTGGCCAAGATCTACCTCCCATTTTTTATGCTCTGATTGGTCAAAATTTGACAGGTGAGTTCATGCAGAAAATTTATGCAGCATCTTGAAACTTGATAATTTTGACAGCTGAAGTTGAGAGAATTTTGTGTCAACTTGCGATGTTTTTAACTGTCTTTTTCCACTAGATGTACAAAATGAAATACAGCTGCCACCAATTTATTGGGTTTTTGGTTGACAAATGCGCCGCTTGTCAAAGTGGGAAATCCATTTTCGGGTCGCATCATTTTCATTTTTTACCTTGCTTGATGCGTAAGAGGGTTAAAAAGTCTCAAGCGATTCTGGCCTTACTTTTTTTCTTTATCTAATTTCATGAACTCAAGCAGAGTTTACATGGCTAGTTTATGCACATTTGTAAGATTTGAGACAATAATCTGACCTAGTATCAGGTTTGATATCAGCTTACAGAACTTCAAAAGGCCTTTAGACAATTTCGCACCGCAAATAGGAAGAAAACATTCCAAAGAATATTAAGTTATAATTTTGGCTGTAAAGAAAATTTAAAGCTTTGAGCGACTTTCTTGTCTTTGTTCATCTTTGAAAAAGCAAACACCAGGAGGTCGACTTAAAAAATAAACTTAAGCCTTAAGCTTAAAGACTCAGGATTTTTAGAGACACTTTAATACTATCTTCGTCAATGAAAATTGTTGTCTCTGTAAATGTTTCACCAAATCTTTTCTTGATTGTTGGTAGTCTCTCGTGATTTTAATCGCTGTGCCGTTTGTTTTCATCTGTTCATGAACATCACCTGCAGGAGTACTCAAAATGCAGCATATATCAAACGCTTTTTAAGATTACACATCATTATAAAACCATCAAATAAATGTTTATTTTTTTTGTTAAATTCTTTACTATGTTGAAGTGTAACTATTAATGTTCATTCAAACAGTGACAGCTTGCACTGCAAATTTGGCACTTATCAAAAAAGAGAAGCGGCTGGCCACAATAGGTGATTTGGGTGCACATATAAGGCTATTAACTTGAAGTAAGATTTGTTTTACTCTTGGACTGTTTTGCACATCATTTTTCTCTAAAATCACTTAACCTTTCCCTCAAAAGTCACATGAATGTGCCCTTAACTTAACTGCTTTGTGGATTACAAGTTTATTGTTTGATTTGAAATATAAATTTATTAACAGGAGCTTTGCTTTTAGCCCTGGCTAAATCTATATAAATTATTAAGGAAATTGGTACACTAAAATTTAATTTTCATGAAGATGATGTGAAATGTGGAAATACAAATTTGAATGAAGACATGATCATTGCAGTGTAATTGCAATTTAAGCAACTGAAAATTAACCCCCCCCCCCCCCCCCAAAAAAAATATATATCTATAGCGGGACTTCAACGGGATTCGATTGGCCTCTGCATTTGTGCTGCAGTGCTCTACCAACTGAGCTATAAAATTTAATGATATCCATTTGCTTCAACTAGGCCAATCTATATATTCTTGCAATAATTCACCACTGCCTCCAAAATTCTTCCAAAAAGGCAATTCCACTCTTGCAATTAGTAAAAATTCCAAGGCCTAATATCTACCCCATTGTCCAACAAATGCTAAGAAGCTTTCAGTTTTTTTTTTTCGAAGGCCTCAATTTTTATAAATCACTTAACTTTTGATTTTAAGTGAAACACTGCATTGCAATAAACTGTTCCAACATTGTTGCCCTAAATATCGTCATTGGCAAATCATCTTGTGTAACATAGCCTTACGCTCTACTTGTTCACGAATTAAGTCAAACAGCACTTTGCAATTTGCCTTCAGACTTATGGAGCAAAGTAAGCCCAGTTTCAATGGAAACTGTTAGAACAAAAATAAAAGAAAAAATGACGTCATTGTACAAATGGCTAATTTCAGTTTTGGTTACAGTATAGACCTTAACCTTACAACAACAACAACAACAACATTTATTGGTATTTCCATGAGTAGATGGCATTGCAGATTACAATAATCATTATGTCAAGGTAAAGGAAAAAAAAACAACGAAAGTAACACTTATCATTCTAAATAATAACAATAATAATAATCGCTAAAATTACAGAAAATGCTAACTATATTGTAGTTATGTTTAATGATCTACTTTCACGTTTTTCGAAGGCCAGAAAAATAAAATGGCCAAGATTCTTGCAGGCAAAGGGATCTACATTATTGAAGAGAAAAAGTATCATATCGTTCGCACTCAATGGGTGAAGATTAGGATATTTGTCACTTATAGAATCAAGGGGATATATTGTCGTTCATTAAGGTAAAGAGTGCAGTTTAGCATGATTTCATTTAAAGAACAGTATTGACACAATCTGAGATGTTCAGAAATTTGGGCGTGCAGTATCTTCCGTATTCTATCATTAATTTATGATTGCTTGTTCTAAATTTTGCCACTGCGCGTCGACGATTTGTGTTTTTTATAAGATCCAAGTAATGGGACAATTCGCTATACCTGTACAAAAGCTTAAGCTAGCTTATATTATTTTTGAAAACTCAGAAAAAGATGGCACAGTTCACAAGCAAGCTCAAGCGATATAAATCGATATTAAACAAAGAAAGTTTGAGCCAAATTTTGTATAGGACAAGACGAATTTGAAATACGTGACTTCCTATGTTTTTTTAGTAGTCATTGTTAAATATAGCAACAGTTGTGTAAAAACGCTGTATCACCACAGCAAAGAGTTTACAATGCTGAATAAAACCACACACAAGTCGAGTTTAATTACACTGTTAATTATTTAGCTTAACATGAATTAAGTTACGAAGCCTTAACGAAGAGGAATTTGTATATTAAAGTTACTTAGGCCATGGATATGGGAAAAAATCGACAACAACATGAAGAATTGAAACAGGTGAAACAGCCATCGTTGGTCAACTACTTTGATATTAGCAATAAAGAACTTGTGGGCCGACAAAACCGCTAATATGCACGCTTATAGAGTATACATAAAATACAAAATATCTCAAAATCTACGACGCTTAGGCTTGCTAAATAAAGCAAGAAGAATACAGCGAATCCATCACATTTTTCGACCATTGTCAATATGTACTCAAATTATACTCACTCAACACCACGAGTATCCACGTGGAAGTCATCTTTCTCGAAGGAGTATTCAAAAAGTCAAAACAACGAAGAAACTTTGCTCTGTTTTCCTGAGAAAGGGGCAGCTTGCTTCAGTATTTACTTTACCCAAGGTTATGAGCAAAGAATATTGGATTTGAGGGAGTGACACTTTCAATAGCTGAGTGACCGCTCTGTTTGATGAAAATTACTTAGCTACCGCCCAGGCCCCAGTTGTTCAAAAGTTGGATAACGCTACCATAACCAATTGCGATACCATCATCACTGGGGTAAAAAATAACGTTGTTGATATTTGCCTCGAGAAAAAGCAGTCGGGCCTTGCTATACAAACAATAAGAAACGATAAAAAGATAAAATTTTAAGTCAATACTTTTCCAGTCCCTTGTGTTACCTAAAATAGTAACAAAAGTTGAAAATATTGCATTTCCCTCCTCAGTTTTGCCGCTTGAAAAGAAAACCGCAAAAATTAGCTCCCAGCTGAAATTTCAGTGAATTCGAGCCTCAAAAATTTGTTCCCGCACATAGGCGTACGGGCACCTTCGGATTTGGGAGGGGCGGTGATCTTTTTGCCCGAAAAAATTACAAAAAATTACACAGTGCCCGAGTGCCTGAGTTTTGTAATCGGAATACAAAAGCACTTGTATTCTATGAAAAAGGAAAAACGTTTACAATTCTCACACTTAATGGGACGGCTCTAATTCTAGAAGTAGTTATTTTGAAACCTTGCATACTCTATGATCACTATTGACAGTCTACTCGATCTAGTAAAATCAGAAACTTATCAAAAACAGGTTATTTCTCCTGTGGCTTTGCCGTTCGAAAATGATAACGAAGGGTGATATCACCCAACGTACAAAGAACATCTGGGTCATTTCCACTGAATCAATCGAATCTCAATCTCGGCCAGGATTTTATCTAGAGAGGTGAAAAAGGTGTTGACATGATAGTAATCCTCTGGTTTTGATCTAGCCCGCGTAGCAAGCGTTTCCAATCGAGTCGACGAACTCGCGCGGAAACGCTTGCTACGCAGGCTAGTTTCGATCACGCCGGAGGAGTAGCATTGAGGCTTTGGTTTTCCCCAACTAACGCTTGTAAGTGCGTTGATCTGGATGAGGGTTTTCCTCTTGGCACACGGGGACCGGGAAATGAGAAATCGGATTCAGCAATCTACGATTTAATCTTATCACAGTTTCCACACTGAGGTGAAGCTCTCATAAAAGATTCCAACTCAGGATGGATACCGCGGGAAAGAATGAATGAATATAATCGACAAGTTTTCATCATCTGTTAACACTTGATTGACGCCACACACCTTGATTCGGCATTGCACAGCGCACTTTATTAGAGTTTCAATGGAACCTCATGCCTAAACCGCCGTGACGAATTGTACATGTAATCCATATCCTTATTATTTTTCCTTTCCAGTTTTTGTGTTGTACGTCATTTCCGCCTCTCCCTTTCAAACAATTTTGATTGCGACATTCTGCATCTATATAATATTGTGATTGGCACCAAAATCGCTGCTCGCCGCTGTACTAAATGTGACTGCTGCCGCCGCCGGTGCCTTGTTCTAAGTGCACAGTAAAACTTAATTTTACGCATTATTTTACGCAACGATAGTCATCCTTCCAGTAAATGCTAATTACGAAAGAAGTCACAGTAAATGAACACAAATAAATAATATGCGATATCGTGCTTTTTACGTGACATTTTCATTCCAATCAGTTTTTAGTCGGCGTTATCCTACCCTTTTTCAGTTTCGCTTCGGCCTCGAATTTGGCGTGAAAGCCTAAAATGATCTAATAGACGCCCCGTCTCTTGAATCGAATAAACGTCCCCTCTCCGTCATTCTAGGGAGTACACCAGGACAGAAATTAGACACAAGATAAATTCAAAGTTTTATTTCTTAAGCCGCCAGTGGCTATAACGAGTAATAACCAAAGGTTAAGGAGAGATCAATACATACGCCATATAATGCTCAAACGCTATCGTTTGCGTACTTAAGGAGCGTATAATCAGACTACGAGTGGTCAGGAAGGTCCAAACGCGCGCGCTTGTTCAGATTGCATTCAGGAACTTGAAGTAGCCAAGCAAAAAAGTGCGTGTTGCAATGACAAACCTCCTGGCTCCTCCTTGAAATAGTAAATTTTATAATTCACTGCTCGATAGCGCACTTCGGAAATGATCACGTAAAAAACACATGAAAAAGGCACAGCCTAGAAATTAACTGCTAATATTAAGCACTGGGCCACGGAACAAAATTTTAATTTTAGAGTTACTGTCAGTATACTGCCCTTTTTTACGTCTCCCTCATGCATTTAAAGGGCTGTCAAGTCATGTCAACCGTTTTGTTGGTTGTCCTGCTCGTGCTAAATTACGATGCATCTTCTTCGTTTCCCGAAAAGGATTTTTTAATCCTCTTGCTCGACAGTCTCTTTTCCTGTGATTAGTGTATGACCTTTCTTGATTCTGGTGCCAGATGTTGTCTTTTGCCCTGTTGCGACAAAAATATAATAATAATAATAATAATCTTCATCATCATCATCATCATCATCATCATCATCATCATAATAATCATAATAATCATAATAATAATCATAATAATAATAAACATCAAGAAAGTATCAGAAAGAGCTAATATGACAGAGATTCAAAAGATCTGCATGCTGGGATCTGCACGAATCCTCAGAAAGGTGCTCAGTGTATGAACAGAATGATTGACTTCAGTGACTGACGCTCTAGTTTATCATGGCACCAGCAAAGACTTGATAATAGAGACAATGCATGTTTATCAGGCAAAAAAATAATTGTTGACCTTTATAATTATGGAGCAGCGCGAGGTGTGCCTGGCTTTAGGAATGTCAGTTTTCAGATCATAATACTGAGTCCGTACTGATCCCTGCATCAACCTCCAGCAAAAGAACCGACTTCTATATCTGAATTCAGCTTATATTTCGGATACGTAAATCAACAGAGTGTGCCTGCATGGTGCTTTGCTTGATGGTTTTTCTTATGTGAGTTTAAATATATGGTTACAAGAATCTGGAACTTAGTACATCCCATTGCCTTGTTGCAATGATCCATGCGGTGGACCACTGCCGGTAACAATGAGAGACGTATATGTTGTAGTTAATTTTTTATTTCAGTTAATTTTTATTTTTCCATTGTTTTGGTGTATGGTAATGTACGCTAATGAATTTAAAACAAAGGAAAAACAAAAATTAACTGAAATAAAAAATTAACTGCAACATATACACATCATGTTCTGTTCAGTTTTAAGCTATGGCTTCTAATCACCTTTAGAGATGTATCGACATCCAGCATCAACAGAAAAGACCAAGAGAATTAATAATAAAGGGACCACTAGCACCACAGATACAATGATAACCGCTGTTCGAGAGGACTTCTTCGTTGTAAAGTGGATGAAGTTCTCTGATTCGTAGGATCCATACTCGTCAAAAGAGCGCTGAAAAACTGCATAGTTTGCGCCTTCCTTTAGTTCACCGTTGTAATATTCTCTTGAGCCTGTCATGTGATATAAAAATATAATATAAATATAATGAGAAAATGCAGCATATATTATAATGGTAGGCGCTAAATTATAATTCAAGCAATTTTCTGGACAAGAGCCGAGAGAACGCATATTGAAAGCCGGGCTGCGTAACGGTTGTCAAGGGTTTTAAATATTTCGCATGCCCCACAATAATTAATTCTTCCTTATTCGCTGTTAAGGAACTTGGTTAGCAAGGAATCCACTTGTAAATGCCAAGAATTACGGCTTCGTAGAAAACAAGCCTTAATGTGTTACTTGTGATGGTCTGTGTGACAGCGAGATGCGGTTCGCAAGTCCAACCCACAAAAAATGACCCTTGCTCGCCAACGAGTCCTCAGTAGCTCAGAGATTAGAGCATCCGATCTAGAACACGGAGGGTCGTGGGTTCGAATCCCATCTGGGGCTCAGATTTTTCTGTGTCCTCTTATGGTTGATTCTTTACATCTCCCTTTATTTCCTTTATAAAAAAAACAATTGGCAAGTTTAAAACAAGTCAACAACGTAACAATAACAAAACAACAGGCTTAGACTGGGGGAGAGATTTTTCTCTCAAGTCCAGGATTATGCGCTACCATTTACTTTTTTGGGCCCGTTCGTTTACCCTTCAAGCGTCGCGAATCCCATGTTTGCCTTCGGCTTTTGCAAACGAGTCATTAGCGATAAATAGGTCTCACCTATTGCCTGCCTTTGCCGTTGAACGGACCTTGAATAGTATTTCCCGTCACCAATGCGAAACTTTATCGTTCCGTAATTAAACTCTGCTGTTATGTATGGCTCTCCTTCAACTTGTACTTTGTAATCTCGGTAGATATTTGCCTCTGAATACTTTTCATGCGTTGACACTTCCAGGTTTTGATCTTCTTTCAGCTGTATGACAATCACCTGGACATAACTAAATAATATAGAAAAAAATTCTGTGTAATGTGCTTTAACTATTGGGACAAGTGCACGAGTTTACGGACAACATTTAAACTGTTCTTGCGTACTAGAAAATTTTTCCCAGACTTACTTGTGTACTTTTTCGCTTGAAGAAGCTTAAGGAAGGAGGGGTACCCAGAGTCAAAACTTTGGTGTCACCCTGTTAGCGGAAAGAATCAATAGGACAATACAAAGTGGTAGCCCGGGGGGGGGGAGGGGGAGAGTGGTTATCCCATGTATTGACGCTTACTGCTCCTGGCTGATTAACGGGATAACGGGATATATAGGGTATGGTTTTATAGGTGCTGCGGCCTAGATTGATTCTCAATTTCCTGTCTCCCATCCCTAATTATTCATAAACTAGGGCTACGATAGATAAAGGAAAAAACCTAGAATCCAGAGCCTCGGTTAAAAACTTTTAACCTAAATTTTAAACTTTCACCTGTAACATATACATACAAGAGCACAGGACTTAAGCTGCTATAAAGAATCAGCAACATACTTTTAATTGTTAACTTTCTTAAAAAGACGATTCAACGAAGTTTAACTAGAATATTGAAACTATTGCTTCTGATCCCTAAACGCGCACGACCAGTGTAGTTTTCATTTCTCGGACATACAAAGGGCGTGTAATGATCACCTTTCACTTTTTTTTCTTTCTTATGGTTACTGAATCTTCACTGTGCACAGCTAAATTGGCGAGGATAAGCTAGGATATCCTTCAGCCATCCATCTGAGAGGGATGAAAATCAGAACTAACCTTGTTCTACGTCCATTCGTTAAGAACTCTTTCTTTCTGAGTGTCAATGTAGCTCCAGTCGACCCAATACTTTCGGTGTCAACGGAAGATAAATCTAAAGGGATTTAAAATACCTACTTGTGAGTACAGTAAAAAAAGAGAATTTATAATGCAACAAACTTGGCTATAGTTAAAACTATTCCTCTGCACTTTCGGTACGTAAATACTGGGTAAAATTGTCAAGTAAATTATTCATGATTTATAACAAAGAAACTTTCCAAGTTATTTACCTGGTGGCTGTGTATACGTAGGGGATGGCATTGATGATGATGATGTTGTAATTGATGCTGTTGATGATACTGACGTTGATATTACCATTAACGACGCTGAAAATAACGTTGATGATGATGATGATGATGATAATGATGATGATGATGATGATGATGATGGTGATGATCTCGGTGCTGGTTTTAATGGTATTATTGATGATGAAGATGATATGTAGGACAATTGTGAGACAGATGATGACGGCGCTGTTGACGGTGACGGCAGTAATGATGATGACGATGATGTCGGTGATGACCCAAATGGCGACGTTGTGGATTCAGCAGATCCCACATTGTCCACAAACGTAACAACTGCGGAGAAGAAATAGAAACGGATTACAGCATTTTCTTCTGCGTTCGATATGTTCACTTTCGTACATGCACTATGTACTAGTAGTATAGAGAACTTCTGTTGGCGCGTATACACATAGACCATGCCGCGGCTAGCCAAAGTATTGTTTAAAATTATTACTAATCCATTGGTGTAACTGGGCCAAGAGGGAATATTCTCTCTTGAATGGGTTGAATGATACTTGTCGGTCACAGGGCTACGAAGTAATGCATTCGAAAAAGACAAAAAGAAAAACTGAAAAAGAGAGATTGAAAAATGAGATGCAACTGACAGCAGATATGTAACCGAGGACAAAACGCTCATGATGGTTATTTACCGATTAATGCTTTTGAAAATAAAACAGCTGACTAGAATAGCCTTTTACGAAGCCGCCGTTTTTTCTGTGTTAAAATAGTTCGAGGAACAATATCATGATTATGAAATGCTTATTGTCTTTAACTTATAATAATATTGATATAGACACTCAATAATCGTTGAAGCATAAAGATTGGGCGAACTGTTTTCTAACTCCAGCATAAAAAAAATCCCTGTTATTTTTACTAGTTCCTGTGTCCAAAGAGTTACCTCGACAGTGTATCAAGAAGTATCTCTAACGATTATTTAAACTTCATTATAAATTTATCCCATAAAGCAATATATTTGAAATCAAATGTTTTTGTAGTCAGCCATCATTCCTGTTGCACGGCTGTATTGACCGCATTCAACCGATAAGGGAAGAAATCTAGTTAGTTTGTCTATTATCTTCGCCGTCAGCAAAATATTTAAATGTTATATTCGTAAAATGAACTGTAATTAAAGACATGGAAGCTAACAAACTGTAAGAATGACTCAAAGAAATGCGGCTCGGCAAGCTACAATGGCGCTAAAGATTGTAAAGTATTTAACAGATCATAAATACATTACGATGACATTTACTACAAAGTCATCAGTGGGTAGCTTATACTCACCTAAGAAAACAAAAAGAGCAATCCAAGCAGAAGCCATTGATCTGCACTGTTTGATCAACTTGTTCCCAATCACTGTCTGAAAGCCCGAAGGTTATGAAGTATTCTGAATTAGTCGAGAATGCTAATTGTTCTTCCTAGAAAAAGTATGCATGTAATTTCATGGTTTATAGTTCCTCGTTTCTATACGGTTTTCTAAACCCAGTTAGTGCCATCTAATTTCTCATCAATTTTAACCACGTCAATTTCTTTTCCCACCGAGTCCGACACCACTTTTTCGGCACGACTTTTTTTTAGCACGACTTTTTCAGGCACGACTTTTTTCCGGCATGGCTTTTTGAAGCGTTTTGTTTTATCACATACATTATTCCCAGTTCTCGTCGACTTAAATGTAAATCCAATCTAAGATGACCGTCTTTAATTTGTTATTGAGCAAAATCTTTCTGGCAGTCTCATTCACAAGTTTGTTTGTTTTTTGTGAATGAGCAAAACTTGAGCAGAAGTTGTTGCAGTCATTTTGTTATGGTGTTCTTCTGCGCGTGTAAATGTCGGCAGATTTACTCCTGAGTCGGGGAAAAAAGTCAGGAAAATAGTTGAAAAAGTCGTGTCGAAAGAGTCGTGCCGAAATTGAAGGTTGTGCCAAAACAGTCGTACCGTTAAAAGTTGGAGTCGGCTGTAAAAGAAACTGACGTGCATGGTGAAAAAAAAAATCTAAGGAAAATCTGATGGAACCTAACTGAGCTCCGTAGCACTTTTCCCTTTGATTCGTCGGATCGAATAAACTGGTCTCGAGTTCTTGATCATCTTATCACAGCGAGGGTGCATCAGTGAACCACATTGGTTACCAGCTGAAGATCGCTGAAATCGTAACCTGCGTGCCCTATTGCGCACGCCAAGAGGAAGGTACACGCGAGAGGTGCGGTAGCTTTATCTCCCCGCCTTCCTCATCCTTTACAGCCCTATCTTAATAAACCTTTCTTTTTTTTACCGATACGGCGGCTCTATTGAATTAGTTAGATTTAAGAAGTATTATGGGATGCCCAGGAGGCATGGGCACATTCTGATATACTCGCTTAGTATTAACGGGCGCCTAGAATAAGATTGTAATGGGAAAAAAAGGTCGTTGTGCAGTGTTTGGATGTAATAATGATGTCCTTTTTCCCGAGAAATAGACTGTGAAAGACCTTATTTAGATGGACTTATAATAACGGATCGTGCCAGGAGCCCTGCTGATCGTGCTCATGCCCCTTAGCATCCCATAATACTTCTTAAATCGAACTAATTAGTGTCCCTTGCTTAAGCAGCGAGACACTTATGCTGCAACCCGTTTTTCGTCGTATTTAGGACTCAAAAAGGGGTCATTGTGCCAGGCGTTTCTTGCGGAGACCGTAGAAACTAGGACTAAGAATTGTTGCGTGATCGAGGCCACGCATGTTTTGCGAAGAAAGCCTAGGAAAGGTTAAATTTAGAGCTTTTCGGAAACGTGTCGGTCCACGAATTCTATCGCGTGAAAGCGTTGATTACTTTGGAACCAGTGAATACTACTGAGTGCTCGAAAAAAATAAGAATCTTAATTAGCAAAACTGCGATGGTCGGGTGTTGTAAACTTTCATTGTATGCAAATGACTCTTGTGAAGAGCATGCGGTTTATTTTCGGCGATGATTGAAATGACGTGCCATGTAAATCACTTTTGTGATCTCTGGCAATGATGTGATGTCTCTGAAATTGAGGCCCTTAAATTTTCGTTTATTTATACACGCGTATAGCCTGCGACCGCACACATATTTCCGGTCCTCGCCAACACGCGTACTAAATCAATTCACAAATAAAAAGTATCGAAGTCGATAAATTAGGAGGTAAAAAACCTTTAGCGAGTAAATCCTGTTCGTGTAGAATTAATCACCTCCTCATTTCTCGATCTAATCTTCAAGCAAGCGAGACTGACAATTGGCAACATGCAACAAGATTTATTTGTATGACAATACAAGTACCTACAAAAAAAAGCCAATTTTAAAAGAGGAACTAATATATATAATACTGATATGTATCATCATGGGTATATTCTACAAGCGTAAACTGCATTGCAAAAAAGGTGGCTTACAAACGGACCACCTATAGGGTCTTACATTAGAGGGGTACGTGGTTGCTTATAGTAGCTACTACATTGCTGTCGGCCATTTATTAGAGAGACCAAATCTTCCTTTACGAACCGCTTTTCGGCCAGTTAACATGGGAATGGCTAAACAAAGAGATTTTCGACAGTAAGGGGCGAACCATTTGACTTTTTTTAGTGAGGGGTCAGTAACAACTTGCACTAATGGGTTGGAAGATTTCTTATTGGCAAGAATTTTTTTTTCCGTTTTTCCCCAAACTTTTTTTCTTTGCTTAGGGCTAGGCTGCAGGATTCTTTTTTTTTCAAAATCCTCCTAACCCCCAGGCCCTCATATTAAAGTCAAATGGTTCGCCCCTAAGCCGGTACAATGTCCTGCAATTTGGATAAAATTATGCAGCGTTTTTGTTCTTCGCGCCTGCGTATAAACCAAAATTTGGATCTTTTTTGCGAGTCTATTTCTAACTTTTTTCTTGCTCTCTTCTTTTCCCTTGCCTTTCCTTTTATAGCCACTTTTGTTGCCTACTTTATCGTCTTTCTTTTGTGTGGAATTTTGGCTGGCTTTCTTTCCAACAAAGGTACAAATTTAATCTGCAAAGAGTATTAGGTAAATAGCAAAATTGGAAGTGGACTTTTTCCCAAAATGTTGCTTTTTTTTCTTCGTAACTCTGCCAGGATTGGTCAAAATTTGCTTAATGAGGTACCAGGGTAAAGATCTATCCTCGCTATTTTTTTTTCTAAACGTATAATGATTTTTTTTATTTATTTTTTAAATATATTTATTGATAATCACATTAGATAATTAAATTTTACAATACTACAAAAAAGCATTTTAACAACAGACATTAACAGAGTAAAGCAAAATGAATTGTTAAATTATATTACAGGGCTTAAAGAAATTTAGAAAAAAGTACAACAGGGCAATTAAATAATGCAGAGTTAAGACAGTTAACCGTTGTGTGTAAACAATTTTATAATTATTTATTTATTTATTTAGCCACTCACAAAACCTTATACAACATGAACAAAAGTTGTTATAAAATTAATGTGACAAGGAAGCCTAACGAAGCTTGAAGCTTATATCAATAGGCTTCCTTCAACTACCTAATGAACTAAATTCATGGCTGAGTGCAGAGTGAGCAAGATCAGAGAATTAAGTTATCAGTGAGATAATTCTTTAATTTTTTTTTAAAAACAAATATAGAAGGAGAGCTAATTAGTGAAACAGGCAACGAATTCCCGATTTTAGGTCCTCGGTAAAGGATACTGAATTGCTTTATATTTGTTCTACAAAAATGAGGTCTATACTGAGAGGCTAGTCGAGTTTCGTATTGATGGACTATTACTGCTTAAGAACAAGTCACGAAAGCTACTAGGCAAAACATTATGGTGATAAGAATACATAAAAGTAGCGACAGAAAATGAATTAATACTAAATATGTCAAGGACTTTAAGCTGGCTAAATAAAGGGGCGGTATTTGCTAGATAGTGAGCTTTTGTTATGAGCCGCACTAGACGCTTTTGCAAAAGGTAAATACAGTTGAGGTTGGAACAGTAGGTGGAGGACCAGGCGACATTACAGTATGTTAAGAAAGGATATACAAGGCGTCAGTATCCACTTTTTTTAAAAGAATCCTCGCTAATTTTGCTAATTACCATCTTAACAGCTTAAGTGGAACGCTACTGATCATGATCATGATGGAGGCCGGGTCTCAATTAAATGGAGTTGGTACCGTCAGCCGTCAAACCCGGGGCCCAAAAATTAACCGTCAACCGTCAAAAATGCAGGTTAAGATCAACCTTAAAAAGTTTCAAATTTTTTTCAGCAGATCTCCCCGCGTGGCACGGGATTCCGGCTCCTAGAGAATTTCTACACTGCAAAAACCACTTCCCAATTGTTCTGAAAAACACTCTTTCTAGACATTACAATACCTTACAACCTGCTTATATCTGACAATATTGCGAAATTTTATCGGTGGAAGGCCAAGACAACCTTCAAAACACCTCAGTTAATATTAATTCATAGAGAAGGTAATATTTACGTTAAACGCTTGGACTAAATTTCCACTTAATAACCGTCAACTATCAAACGTCAAAAGCTCTAAAATTTAACCGTTAACCGACAAAATTGGAAAAAAATTTACCGTCATCCGTCAAAGCTACCACCCCATTGACACCCTCTAAATTAGCCTGTTCCAAGCGTTCAGATAGTGGAGAGCGGAGCGAAGTAAAGAAAGCGATGAAAAGTAGAGGAGGACTCCCTCGCTTTTATTTTATCGCGCTCCTTTTTATTTTTCGCAGCGCTTCTCTAAATGGGTTCAGGAAGGATGACTATATGTATGGGTCCATATGGACCAAAGACTACCAAAGCTGAAGCGAAAGTCACAGAGTTAATCACGTGAAAAGGGTCCTCAATAGGTTTTTCGGTATACGGGATTTCCCTTATTTGAAGGCCGAGATTCGGTATTTTAAAGCAAAATGAGGGTGAAGCATGCACGGGATGCGGATGTCTCGAATAAAACATTTAAACCAATTTAAGCCGAGGTGGAGGTAACGAAGAGCCCTATTGAGGACCCTCCATTAACGTAGAATGGAATAGGAAATGTTAGCATTTAGAGCACATTGAAAGTTACAAGAATTCCTATAAAAATTATCACTGTTATCATGTCCGCAGAGACAGTAAAGACTCCATTGCATGGCGTGTCTTCATTACTGACGCAGCAAACGATGGAACATTTCTTAACCTTATCATCCCCTGCCGTTTGCAAATTGGCCAGGTTGTGGCCTGCTTCGCACCTTTTCCTATCTTCTTCGCAGTCGTTTCCTTTCATGCATCCTCTCATTTCTCGATTTTTTCCGCTCTCCTTCTCGAAATATCCCCTCCAGCAGGTCATTGCTGTCGTGTTGTCAATGCGGCAGTTGACCACGCTTTGCGTCTCGGTGCACTTTTCACCACTTTCTTCGTTACAATCGTAGCACTTGAATTCATTAACTGTAAAAATCAACCAATCAATAAATTCGTCTATCAATGTTATTCAGCATGGATTCTACTTATTCACCTTTAAATGAATGAATAGAAATTTAAAAAGGGCCGGGAGAGTTTTGAATTTAACACGCTTACGATATTAGGATGACTTTTCGCTCACACGCAACTGTAAATAGAAAGAAGCAAAAAATTGCTACTCACAATGCGAAAAAAAATTCATTTAGATCATCGTCTCATCATGATATAAAAATAACAAACAGCTTATCTAAGGCTTAAAACAACAGCAGGATAAGTCAAACTAGACTGATCTGCTGTGCCTCAACAAACTTGATGGGGAATTCAAAAAAAGACCATGTCTCAACCCAAGTGAATTCTGATTGTGAAGACCCTTTCGTAGAAAAAAAATTTTTTTTTAGATATAAAGGTTTCGCCTTTTCTTTCTTTCTTTCCTGTTTTCTTTTTGATGGCATTATGAATGTTTCTATGTTAATCTGTATTTTTTTGTGGTTTTAATTTAAATAATTACATCGAAATTAGTTTGAATACTTTGTGTTTTGTAGTTTTGAAGTGTTTTTAAAGCCGGTAATTTAAAGATTTTTTGTATTCAAAAAATTAATAAAAAATTAATAATTAATAAATGCTGTTAAATTACTAAAAAAAGTTGTTAGTGGACTGAGTTTCACGCGTGCGCACTGAGTGGTCGGCATCGTCTCAGACTAGGGGTTCTGCACGACTGAGCAGATTTCAAATCTCATTTTGAGCTATCAGTGCGGCGCTTCTTCTGATTTGGCTTTGCAGAACTGGTTTTCCTGGTGGCACACTTAGGTGATTTACATTGGGCAAACCGGTTTTGGTTCACGGCTTGGGTAAATGGTAAGCAAAATTCGGGATTGGTAATTTTCCTCCCGGAATGGCCTTTACCATTTGCACAAATCAGTTCCATTTACCGTAAAACGGCCGCTAAAGCCTAAAACTGGTATCAAAGGTGGTTTTGAAGGTTAGAAAGACGATTATCCGTGTAGAACATTCCGTTCGGAAAAACAGGACTACCTTTTGAGATGATCCGCCTCGCTCCTGAAAATTTTCCGCTAGAACGACCAACAAAGTTATGTTCCATTTACTTTCCAACCGGACTTTCTGGAAACGGTTTGTATTGTAAATGGTAAACAACCTTTAGTTAATTACCAGTTGGGGTTTCTTGTTCATTAGGATGGAAACATTGCAAGTAGTCAAGTTTTTCAGATGTGCAAAGATTGCGGCGCGAGGGATGAGTTCCGTTTGAATGCGCTTGCCCGCGTAAAGAGGGATCTGATTGATCATAGTCTTTATACTATTATGAATTACAGTCAAATCATGTTAATTCAAACAAAGCGGGGGCCATAAAAAAGTGTCCGGCCGTATTAACGGGGTGTCTGTATTAAGCGGGTTGAATTAAGAGAAAATGTAAGGGCTTTCTTTTCCCAGGGACAAAGCAAACTATGCATAATAATGAGGTGTCCGTATTAAGTGAGTGTCTGTAAAGCAGGGTTTGACTGTATAATTAGTCAAGTTTATACTAACTGTACTGAGTATTTACCAATTTCTGGCGTTGTCGGTGACGGTGACGGTGACGGTGATGATGATGGTGATGATAATGGTGATGATGATGATGATGATGATGGTGATGGTGATGGTGATGGTGACGGTGATGGAGATGGTGACGGTGACGGTGATGACAATGATAATGTTGATGATGGAAGTGGTGGACGTGTCGTTGATGTTGCTGAAGGTGCTGAAGGTGCTACCTCATCAGTTTCGAAGTATTCTGCTAGAAACCCGCGATCAGGTGAGAACGATGAATAAAATTTTACAAACATCTGGTGACCGCTTGAAATCTTTGCTGTTAGCAATGAGTTGGTGCAAAGTCGACCCAAGGACGGTGAATCCGCTGTAGGACCATCGTAAAACTCCAGTCGGCTGCAAATATTAGCGCTGCAATCATCGCAATTTCCCATATGAAAATCTGCGATTTTAACTTTCACGCGTTTTTCCGGAGGTGCAGTGATGATCCAGAAGCAATTCCTGTCAGAAGGGTAGTTTTTTAATGGATAGTTGAGACTGCTGAATGAACCATTACCAGATAACTGGATTGGTGAGGAAGGGCATTCTGAAAAGACAAAAAATCATGCAGTTTCAATCACCTAGCTAGTTGCTTGCTAAGTTCATTTGATAAAAAATATAAGCGTTACAAAAGAAAAGGAATTGATCTCACACACGACTGGTCTTGTACACAGCAGATGGCCTTCATTGATTTACAATCGATATCACCGACTACGGCGAAAACGTTCCCTGAGGCCAAAACGATAAGGGTGGGTGAAAAAGGTTGTTTGTTTGATTGGGCAACTTCCAAATTGTTCGATGTAATAATACTTTTCCTTTACTTTACCACAAAATATTTGAACAGCATCTCAAGGCCACTACCCTGTATACCAGAGGTCTTCTCGCTCCCAGCGACAAAAAGGATAAAGCGGAGCGAAGTGTTGGAAAGAGGCAAAAAAACCTCGGGTTCCCGGCTAGAAGAATCAGGCAACCTGGGTATATCTTTTATCTGTTTACCCCATTACTTATAAATATCAATTTAGAAATTCCGACAAGAAAATGCTCCCAACCTTTGAAGGCAACCGCCTTTGGGCGGTATTTGACTTGTTGACTCACGTGCCAGGGGAGAAGCGAATTTGACAGATGTGGCGGGGTAGATATATTTTTTTTAGGGTTGGGAGAATCTAAATCAGTATGAAAGGGTTGAGAGATTTGAACAAACTGCCTCAATTTTAACTTGGTTAATTTCTTCATTTGATTTGATATTTTAATTGATGAAAACCCCGATCGAAATTATGTGGGAAAGTGTTTCTAGTTTGTATTATAATACATCAGAAAGATGTACAAAAGGTGTTTAAACAATTATTGAACATTCGATAAACGGACATTTTTGCGTATGCATATTAGAAGCAAAAAGTTTACTTGTTTTTGCCAGGTTAGTCCCAGGAGTATGAAAACATGGGCGCATTTTCTGACTAGAAGGAAGAAGATGGGACGTTTGAACCAAATTTCTGGACTGAAAGTGAAAACAGATGTTATTGATGTTCACTGAGAGTATCTTTGACGAAAATATCGTGTTATTCAGTCATTTTTCTTACAAAGTCAGCATCTTAACAGAACAGCTATAACAAAAACGAGAAAAAAAACCAGCCATGAAATGGTTGTGTAGGAGCTGCTTGTAAGGTCTCTCCTGATTGCTCGCAGAAAACAATGACATGTCATTCTTTCAATTGTTTCAGTATTATTTGGGGTCTGGGATAGGCACCATTGGTGACTTCCCTTCCAAGCAGCTGCTACATGACTGCACGAAATATGATCCAACCCCTCTCCTAGGGTAAATGGTTAATGCGGCCAAATACTTAACTGATATCTCGAAAATATAATAATTTCTCGAAGATATTAGCTACTCTAAAACTTGAGGTGAAAAAAGGTTCTGTATGTGTGTCTAGCCGATTTTTTGAAAACCATCAACCTAAGGAAATGTGTAGTCATTTGATTGAAAAGGCGTCAAAAGGCAGGTTTCTTAAGTCAAATCATCATCATTTATTAGGGTGAAGGCAGCAGATTATTGTGGTAGCGAACATAAATTTAGCAGTATTGAGCGTAGTGACTTGGAAAAAACTAGAATTTCCAAATTGAAGAATAGAGGAGCAGTGTGATGTGCTCGATAGTTTGAATTTGTAATAGCTCAAGCTCGCACAGCCCGCTTTGGTAGATAGTAAATTCTGTTTAAATTAGATACGTAAGTAGACAACCACGTGGAGTTAAAATAATTAATATAAGGATAAATCAATGTGTAGTACAGCATGAGTTTGGTCTTACAAGATAAGTAGAAACGCGTCCTGGATAAAATACCGATTGATTTAGCGATCTGTTTACAGACAAAGTTTATGTGATATTTCCAAGTAAGATGTTCGTCTAGGTACACCCCAAGAAATTTAGGTGCATTGCTTTGAATTAGAGGTTGACCTCCAAAAGAGAGAGAAAAACTGTGATTGAGTTTCCTCTGACTCGTACTAAATTAATTAAAGGTAACATAATATGTCTTTCTGATATTAACTGAGAGCTCACTGCATCTTACCCTAACATCAATATTTAGTAACTCATTATTAAGCACATTCTTCTTGGGCCCTGTAAGCTCCAAAATCACACTAACGATTGGAAAGAAAAGGAGAAAAAGAAAGAGCGAGAAGGAGGAAAGGAGTAGAAGAGAAAAAAGCAATGGTTGCACTCTTAGTTTTCATAATAGCTACTTTGGAGATAAAAACTGTCGAACGTCCATTTGGCGGTAACGTTCTCAAAAATCCAGTTAGATATATGTGTGTGTATGTTGTATATGTAGATAAGTTATCATGCCAGCCGTATTAAAGGGTTCCACCATATTTACATACAATGTAATTACATTCACCTACCTGGTGGGGTATAGTTCAGCATGGTGTAAGTTGCTGTAAATCCTCTTTGCTGTTTTTCAAGTAAAGCGTCAGAGGAAAACCTCACCCTCAGACGTTCATTGGTTGAATAATAAAACTGTCGAGTGAACCTGTCATCAACACATAACTTCCCACTTGCAGTACCTGGTGTTAGACCAGAGCCCAGAAAGCCGTCAAGAATTTCCAAATAATCACACGCACAGGCTCCCTCTTCACCACAACGATGAATTTCCATGTCTGTAATATCTAGTTTCACAAAATTGCCTTTACTGGCAGAGATTTCCCAGAAACAGTCCTGGTTAACGGGATACTTCCTGGGATAGAATGGACTTGTGATAACTCCTGACATGTCTGTCAAGTTTATTCCACTTGGGCACACTAAGAAACAAAATTTAAAAGTGTTCTTTAGTTTTCAGTTGAATATTAACGTAGTAACGTACCATATTTTTGGTGCAACTCACTCGAAAAATAGAATTAAGGGCCATTACATGGAGTTGGGGGACCCCAGGTAGGTGGGGTAACCTGCTTAGGTGGGGTAACCCGCCTGTCCTTATAATTTCTCATTTTAATTTGATTACATTTACATGGTAGGTGGGGTGACCATATGAGAGATTATATGGAGAGGCGGGCTACCCCACCTAAGCGGGTTACCTCACCTACCTCCATGTAAACAGGCTCTAACACATCTGCCATGTCCAGTAGTCATTTTTTAAAATACATTTTCCTTTTTTTCTCAAATCAGTGTCTAAAAGCCTGGATTACATCAACAGTTCGTTATGATAAATTTGATAAAGTATTGATACAAATGGTGTAATGCTATAATTCAATAAGTAAAAATGGAAATATAGTCAAACCTCGCCCAATACAGACACCTCATTGTCACAGACAGTTTGCTTTGTCCCTGGGCCTAAAGCCCTTACATTTTCTTTAATTTCAACCCGCTTCAGAATACGGAAACTTTTTATGGCTCCCTCAGTATCCGTATTTAGCTGAGTTTGACTGTAAGTCCTTTTTTATTGGGAAAAACAAAATTTTTAAAAACATGGCTGTCAAAACTCGGTTGCTATGGTAACGTCAATGTTAACGTATACGTAATCACGGCTTTCAAATTTTCCCAGATAATTTTTAGGAAAAGTCGCTTCGTTTGGTGGTCATAGCTTAAACAGCTTTGAAGTTATTCAACTTTCTAGCAAGCGGGGAGCTTCAAAGATACCTCCCCAGGTGTAAATAGGATAACCACTGAGCAGTTTAGCAATTCCTTGGTTTATGATAACATATGGACTGGACTGGTGCATTATAGTTAAACATGGACTGGATTGACAAAACATGGATTTGTAAAACATATATAAA